GCAAATCTGTTCCTGGAACTCCAGCCATTTCAGTGGGCACCCGGCAAGCTGCTGAAACAGCCACAAGACAGTCCAGAACTGGGAATGTTAAGTGGATTTGTTCTTTAGAAGAACATCAAGATTGAATTTATGCACAGAAGCTTCTACAAACAAAAGAGTTTCTTCATCCTCGGCAGTTCTGATGTCCATAAAAACCATACAGCTGCACCCAGAAACAAAGGCAGCCAGTGAGGATGCATGGCAGGGCACCGTAACAATCAGCATTGTTGCTGGGTCACCATACAAATACCAAGATGCACTCGGAGACAAAAACAACAACAAAAAAATCATTGAAAAAGAGCTAAGTTATTGTGTGAAATACCTTCAGTACACTGCCCTCCCAGTGCTTAATGCGGGCACCTCCTGACACCACGTGCATGGACTCCTTGCTCCTGTGCCTGATGCAGGTTCTGCCTGTTGAATGGACCCACTGCAAGTCCACACAGCAGTGCTGCCTGCTGTCCTAATGGGGAGGGAGAGAAGAAGTCCAGAAGGGTACAGCCACGTGCAAGGGAGCACTCCTCACCAGCAGGACCCCCATGTGAGCAAACTCAGTCCCAGAACTGCTGTCACAGCCTTAGTGCTACTGCACCCCTGAAGGATCGCGCAGACCTCTGATGCTCCCCATGGGATGGGGCTCTCAGCACAACAGTGCGGGCGAGCTGAGATCTCATATCAGAGCTTCCTTGCTCCTCCTCAGCCCCAAATCAAATAGAAAGCTGTACAGCATAATACAGCACCCTGCTTGCCAGGCCTGGGCTGTCAGAGGGCAAGGAGGTGAGAGCAAAGCAAGGCTGTAAATCCTTGGCTCGGAAAGCTAAGCTCGTAGTGCAGCTGTTTGTGAGTGCACAGAGAGATGCTCTGCTCTTCAGTGAGAGGGAGGGAAGGAAGGAGCTGCTGAGGAGAGCATGCCAGGGAACAGCTGGAAACTGGAGCTGAGGGAGATGGGGCAGAGAAGGAAATTTTATGTGGGCTTTCCTACGTGGTTTAGATAGGAAAAATAGACACCATCAGAAGCAGACTCATCTTGGAATCGGGTAAAATGGAAACAGAAAGAAGAAACAACCCTAAAAACAACAAAGAGAAACCTTTAACTCAATTCATTAGAAGAGCATTCTAGCCATTCCAGATTTACAGTGCTAGGCTCACATCACCCTGGGGGCTTGAGGTTCAGAGTCCCCTACCAGCAAAGCTCTTATTCAGGGTAAGGAAGTGCTCAGCTCCCCTCCCCAGGAGGGCACCTGGAAGGTGACACACATCACCCAATGCACTGAGCACCCCCTATCCTGACTTAAAAGACAGCAGAAGACATCCAGACCTGCTTGGGACTTGGGCCTGTTTGGGCTCTAAAGCCACAGCCGGGCAGTCCCACAACAGAGACAGAGGATCAATGCAGTACATCCAGAATTATTATCATTATACAACAAAGGGAAAGAAATAAAGGAGAGAGAAACAAAAGATGCTGGAATTGTTTCCAAGCCACAGCCTGCTCCAGAGAGATCAGTTTTGCATCCCTGATGACACGGAAAGAACCATCCCTGAAGGACACGGGTGCAGGCGCTGGCAGACACACTGACCTGGCTCACACACACTCCCCACTCTTCCATAGCTGGAAGAGATTTCCAGCAGCACGGCTGACCTGAAGCTTTCCCTGCAGGCTGATCCCACACAGGAAGACAATAGCAAGTCTCCATTTAGAATGCTTTGCCTCAACACAGCTCCCATCAGAGTGCTAAAACCTCAAAATAAACCACGATTCCAGTTACTACAGAGACCTGTCACTGCAGCAGCACTGCCCCAGCCAGAGCTCTTACCCAGCACAGCCACAGCCAGAACTGATTGTCATGTGCTGAGGAGGGGAAGGTGAAGTGCTGCCAGAGATGCACGGAGTCCTGCCGTGCCATAAGCTGCACAGGTAGAACAGATGTTTGTAGCAGCCCCTGGGTGATGTTCCTGGTCACACACTGGTGGCTGAGGGTTGGGGTGAACTGCTGGGGGTGAGAAAGCAACTGCTGGAGAGAAAGGGTGAAGACAACAGCAGTGGGAGCTCCGAATTCAGACAACTGCACAAAGAGCAGCAGAGGAGAGCACATCCAAGGAGGTGGCTGCTGAGGAAACAATGTTATCTGCGGGTAAACAGCACTTAATAAGGGGGAAACAAGGGGCACAGTCACATTGCAGAGGGGTGGTCACAACAGGACGGGGCCATCAGTGCTGCTCCAAGCACTGCCTGAGAGCAGAGCAGACGTAAGGAAGCCGTGAGGAGGATAGCTTAACGTGAACTGAGAGAAACAACATCTATCTATCCCCCTTCCAATCAAAGCCATCTGTTCAGAAACACACTCCATTCTGTCCTGAGCACACATTTCAGCTCTCCTACAGGAGAAGCAGCAGGTGAGGGGGCAGCCCTCTCCCAAAGCAGCGTGCAGCCATGCAAGGATCAGCAAAGAGCACACAAGGCATCCACATCAGAGTGGCAGAGCCTGCCTTGGCCTCTTCCTGCTGCACGGCACCCAGGGAAGCAACGTGCAGCAACTCCACGTGAGTCACACTGCTGCCTCCTGCAGCAAGCCACCCAACGAGCTGGGCAGGATTGCTCTGGGGTAAGCGTGCTGACAGCCAGCTGTTCCAGAAAGGCTGTGACACAGCACTCAGCAGGCAATGGGTCCTGCTGTGATGAGCACCAGGCTGCACAGGGATGGCTCTGTGGGAAGTTTGAGGGAGAAAGCTGGGAACATCCTCCTCCAAAGAGCAGCACAAACGCTAACTTGAGGCCTTTTGAAACTGTCTTTTGAAAGACAACTTTAACTCCACCTCAGTTCCAAACTCTCCCAGCCTGGGGATGGCAACATCCAGCTGCATGGCACGAGTAGTGCTCCCAAGGGACAGATCCACTCTTTGCAGGGAGCACAGTTGACTTGGTGCTCCCTGAGACCCACAGCCTCAGCAGCTTCAGCATCAACCTGGTGAGAAACTCAGGTAGCAGCTGAAATTCAAACCTTTGATCCAAAGAGCCATTTTTAAGCCTCCAGAAGCTCTGCATTGAGGGTCTGATGCAGCACAAGGTACCAAGCTACACAAATGCAATGAGAAGGGACGCTCTGCTCCTGGGGTCCTGAATGAGAACAGACAGAAGGATCTATGATGCTTTAGAAATACACATCACAGAGTTCCAGGCTTTCAGGAGCAAGCAGTGGTTCCTCACCAAGTAGATGCTGACAAAACGTGCCCCAGTCACAGGATCAACCTCAAGCAAACTCCACTTCACACTGACACTGACTGATGGCAAGCTTTGCCATTGGGACAGAAGAAACAAGTTGTGGGTGATCTGTTTTTTCAGATTAGGATGTGGGGTGGGGGGATGGTCAGAGAGGGAAGGAGGAGGACTGATGAGAGTGAAGCTTACAAAGAGAACCCTTCCACAGTGCTGTCGATGTGGTTTCAGGACAGCATTAAGCAGACGATATGGAGGAGGCCAAGCACTAACACCAAGTGCCTTCACACCTGGGATGCTCTATGGGGCACAGCTGCACACAGCACAGAGACCTGCTCCTTCAGTGCATCCCCAGCACTCCAAGACTGATGCCATCCAATTGCCAAGGCCATCAGGGATAGCTCAGGATCAAACTCTCTCCAATTTCAAAGCTGCTCCATCCGATCACAGGCTCAGCAGAAGCAATAGAAGCAGAGACTATCAAAGCACATATTAGTGTGAAAAAACAACCAAACAAAAAACCAACAGCATGTGACTCAATTCCCTAACTAGGAACGGGCTCATTTGCTTACAGAAAAGGAAGGTTCTGAAGACATTAGCTGACTGAGATCTCTTTTTTCTAGAAAGAGACGGTGTTACTTTGCTGTTACAAAGTAGTGGGTGCAGAGAGGCTCCCTTCTCAGCCATAGCTGTCACAGTGTTGGGTTCCACACGTGTATCAAAGAACACACACTCACTTCCCAACCACCCTCATTACTCCTGCCTCATCAGCACCTGAACAACAGCCAAAAACATCCACAGCATAACACGACCACAATGCCAACAGCCCACTTCACCCTTCGATCCGCCCTGCTCAGTAAGCCTCATTCCCAGGGAGCAGCTCCATCGCTCCCACCACGGGGTTCTTTAGGGATGGGAACTCTCTATGGGGAAGCTTAAAAGCACCGAGCAGCTCCTCAAAGCCAAACCACAGCCACACATCCCCACGGATGAGCGGTACCACAGCCTTCTGCTTCCAGAATTTGTTACTCTAATCTCATAGCCCGCCCGAGCTCTGAGTCACTGCCTCCTTGGAGGTACCAGGTGTGCACTTCCATCACTCCTGCAGTGCTGCTGGCAGCTCTGAGGGCTGAGTGCACCATGCCTTTACATCAAAGCCTGCTTCAGTTCCAAGCCCTGAGAAGCACCCGGCTCTCTCAGGCTGCCGTTCACTGAGAAAACCGAGCACCAACTGCTCCAACCATCAGGTCAGCTGCGGGGATGGCGAAGGATCTGCATTGCATGGCTTCTATTGAGCCCCCGGGGCCGTTATTTTGCGCTGAGGCCAGAGAGAAGGATGACAGATTGAACGCCACTCCAGGACCCGCACCCTGCCGGGCTGTGCTATGCTTTAACTGCAGCGCGGGGCTGCAGGAAATAGCACAGTGCCACTCCTCGGCTTTTAATCACGGTCTTGTGACACTACAGTTAATAGCCTGCCGTGGGCTCCATCACACACCTCGACGTTGGTAGGAGGCGGACAAACGAAGCAGCAGCACACGGAGCCCAGCAGCTCCTCTCTGCAAATAACACTCCCGTTCTTTTGTTACAGACCCGCTTCCTCGCAGCGCGGCTCGGCACGCAGCAGGCAGTGAATGGGGCAGAGCCGCGGGGACGGCACCGGGCGGCCACACCGGGCGCCAGGCGGCCCACGACGGACCCCCGCAGCCCCCGCAGCGCCGACCCCCCCCCAACGCCTCCCCCTTACCGTTGCTGTAGGCGTACGGGGACTCGGACGCGCCGTCCTGGAGGCTCTCCAGGATCTCCCCTTTGCCCACGTCGCTGTCTCCCACCAGCAGGAACTTGAGGAGGTAATCGTAGCTTTTCACCGGGCTGCCCTGCGTGCCCATCCTCGCTCCCCAGCCGCATTCCAGGCGCCGCCGGGCCGACGGCCGCCCTCAGGTCCTCCCGCGGGGCTCAGCGCTCCGCCCTCCCGCGGCCCATCTGCGGAGAGGAGCGGGACCTGCGGGGGAGGAGAGCGGCGCTCAGCCCGCGGCCGCCGACAAAGCCCCGCGCCCGGCCCGCCGCTAGGCCCCGCCGCCCCGCGCGGCCCGGCCCGCCGCCCCCCGCCCTCCAGAG